CTGAAATTATTAAAAGATTGTTCTNGACCTAGTTACCACATTTGAACTTAAACATAAATTATTTTGAATGCAGTTTTCCGATGTCCTCAGCCAAAACACGGTCCCCACTGACTCTTCTGCTCTTAGATTAGGTTTTCTGATGTCCTCAGCCAAATTCGGATCCAATTGTGTAATAAATCCATATACTATCCGATCCATATTCTATCCGATCCATATGCTATCCGATCCATACGCGATCTGATCCATATGCTATCTGATCCATACGCTATCTGATCCATACGCTATCCGATCTATACGCTATCCAATCCATATGCTATCCGATCCATACACTATCTGATCCATACGCCATCCGATCCATATGCTATCCAATCCATACGCTATCTGATCCATTTGCTATCTGATCCATACGCTATCTGATCCATACGCTATCTGATCCATTTGCTATCTGACCCATTTGTTATCTGATCCATTTTCTATTCCACTTGCTATCTGATCCATGCGCTATCCGATCTATAGTCTATACGCTATCTGTTCCATGTGCTATAAAATGGCTGAGGTCCCCATTATTAACTTGTAATCTATATATAAATTTGGCTTGTCTGTTTGTTTGTTTTTCTGTTAGTTTGTATCCAATAAACATCAAAACGGCTAAACCGATTGGGCCCAAATTTTTTGTGGGACATCACGTGACCACAGGGAAGGTTTTTGAATGATAAAAACTTTTTAAAAAATGTGTTTTAAAGGTTTTTAATTTTATAAAAAAAAATATAAATTCTTGAAAATCCGCGAATTTTTTTTTTAAAAATCCGCAAAATTATTTTCTTCTTTGTTTTTAAATGTAAACAAAAAGAACATATTCACAATTTAAATAGAAGATGGGCGCGAAGCGCCCTAGAAGCCTAGTTATATATATATTTGTTTAAATATGGAGCAGAACTATCAACTATATCTAACTACTTGATTGCAGATTTATGTTTTCTTATTCCCGCATTTCCTCAATCTTTCTTTGCAAGACAATATGTGGTGGCTACAATTTATATATTCTTTTATTTAAACCTGATTCTGGCTGAGGTTTGAAAGGCCATCTAGCAATATTGTTTTTCTGTAATTTATCCGTTTAATATATTTTTATTTGATTTTTGATTTTTTATACAGTGAAACCCTTAACCCTATTCCTGCTGGGGGGGGGGGTCAATTTGACCCCCCCGTAGTTTTTTTTACATAACTCAAAAAGAGGCTGTTGAAATTTTTTTACTTTTCCTACATACCCAAAGTCCTCCCTTTAGGCCTAAAACCGGGCTTTAATACTAACTGCCTGAGTCCTCAGGCACACTGCCTGAATGACTGCTTTTGCCTGTAGCAAACTTAAGGAAACGGATTGCACAAGTTTTGAGAAAAAAAAATTGCAAAATTTTTGCAAACAACCTGTCAAAGGAAATTTGCACATTTTTAGTTTTTCTTGATTAAAAATCAGGTTATTTAAAATTTTGCAAAAATTTTTGCATATTTGAAATGGCATGGTCAAGGGCTTTTCAAAAATGTATAATTTGTCATTTTTTGGACAAATTTTTTTTTGCAAACATTTTTACT